GATCCTTTAAAGACATTTCTTCTTCCTGCTTTAACCGACCTGTTAGTGTGATCACAAACAAAGGAAACATGAGCCAGTAATGCAGTGACAGCATCTTCCACACACTATCTGTTCTGTATGCTTCATATACTGAATGTATCTGACAGTGGGAGTCCTTTTCTGCTCTGTGACAGTGTTGCTCCTCCTTCAGCCTCTTCCTCCTCTCATATCTCTGCATGTTACAAACACCAAAACCAAACCTCAACACATGTTACAACGGGAGGTGCAGCTGTCTCTGCAGCTCCCGTGTTCCTTGTGTCACGTCTAATCAAGTCATGTCTCTGTCTGTGTCTCATCTCCTGTTTTATTTTGACAGTTTGTCTTGTGTGCAGAGTTTTCACTTCCTCTCGGTTTTGTTGTTACAGAGGAAGGAGGAATAATCAGGACAGGGTGCCTGAGGAAGGGAGGAAATGTGCACTGGTACTCATTTGCAATGACAGGCTGATGTGCAGAGCTGTAGGACCACAGAGGCATAACACCATGAAGATACAGGAAAGAGCTGCTGAAGCTAAGTTAAGAATGATCAGTGAGCAGCAGTGTGGCTTCATCCACGATGTTTGCTTTGAGAGTGTTGATCAGATGATCGGCTGCTGAGAGAGGAGCTGTGGTACTGAATGAGGGAGTGAGGAGTGGCAGAGACGTCTGTGAGGGTGAACATGCAAAGAGCAGAGGTAGTGAAGGTGGCTGAGTTTAAATACGTGGGATCAACCAGGCAAACGGACAGTTCACAAGAGAGTGGAGTGGGTGGAGAGTGTCAGGGGTGATCTGTGACAAAAGGACAGCAGCAATAGTGAAAGGAGTGAAAGGGAAAGTTTAGAGGTGGCAGTGAGACCTGCTGGGATGGATGTTTGGAGACGGAGACATGAGGCCGAGCTGAAGATGATCACATGTTCAGCGAGCAGCATGAGTCCATCAGAGAGGAGAGGCTGAGAGGGTTTGGACACGTGCAGAGGAGGGAGGGTGGATATATCAGACAAAGGAGGATGAAGATGGAGCTGCCAGGCAGCTGGAAAAGAGGAAGACCTCAGAGGAGGTTCATGGGTGTAGTGAAGGAGGACATGCAGAGGACTGGTGTGACAGAGGAGGATGCTGGGATAGGAGGCTGATGATCATCTATGTGACTCCTAAAGGGAGCAAGCAGAAGAAGAAGAAGTTCATCGTATCATGAAAAGATTGAGAGAATCTACAGAAAACTGTAAACTGACTCACAGGTTTAGAACAACTTTAAAATGTCTGTAGTTTTATGGTTTAAGAGATTTTTGTTGTTTAATCAAAATGTATTTAAGCTGATGGACATTATAGCTGGGTTAATGGTG